CTCTTAATTAAATAATAATAAAATTGACCTGTAATGCTTTTTTGGCTACTAGTTCTAAGACTTTCCCTTCTCGCAGCCTAGTATTATTTTTGTCAATATGTAGATAATTTGCCAACATTAATAATCGATGACGACTTTTATAAGCGTCTTCGCGTTTATTTAAACAATCTTCTATTAATTTTAATTTATCTTGCGTTGATCTCACTTGAAGTGGTAATATATCTACATTAAATTCGTTCAAAATTTGAAGCGAGTTAATTAAATCATATTCTTCTCTGATAATATAATTGTCATCAAGAATTAAGTGCAAGCAAGCCCTAAAATCATTAATGCATTTATTTTAATAATATATAAATATTATTTCTATAATAAAATCATTTTATATGATTATATGGCAAAACTTACTTGGCTAATTCCATATTTGGATCAGTAAGACTTTTGGAACTGTTAAAATATTCTTTACTAGCTTCTATTATAAGACTAACAGCTTTGTTATAAGAAACTTTAAGTAAGGATTCTTCTTTTTTTGTTGTTTCTATTAGTGAACTGCAAGTTTGAATATTAGATTTATCTCCTGACATTAATCTAGCAGATACACAAATTTCAAAACATATTTCAATATCGATACATGTAAATAACATGCCATGAATTTCTAACATTTGATTTAATAATTGGGCCCATTGTTTTTCATCCGGACGTGGTGTTCTGTAAAGTTATAATCATATCATAAATCATCCTTTTATCACATTTTACAATAAATTACAGAGATTATAAGATACTCACAATTTGTTTAAACTTCTTGCCATTTGTGTTAAAAGTAATTTTATAGCGTCAGGATTGCTTTTATTATTATGCAAAGAATTGATTGTTGTTCTAACTCCATATTTATTTAAAATTTTCATACCTTCGAATTCTCTTTCAAGTTCTTCAAAAGAACTGTTATATTTTCCTTTACGATATTGATCTTTTGATATAGTATCTAAGATATATTTTGCTTTTGGATACATATCTAAATCATTACATGCATAAATGCAATCTAAAGCTATTGTCACAACGTCTTTCATCATCAATATTATATCTGTGTCACTAGATTGTTTTAAATATTCAAAGAGCTTAACAGGTAATCTAAGGTCATGTTTACTTATGGAGACCAAGTAATTATGCAGTAAATTCTCGTCAGCATTTTTTTCCTTGAAATTTATAAATTGTTATTAGAATACCAGAAAAAGAAAAAAATGAAATTTTAGAATAATGTTATTACGTACGGAATACTTATTTCTTCTCTTTATAAATGGTATTACAAAGTTTTGTATATTACAAACAAAATTACTTTCTTCTGATCCTGTCATTAGTAATTTAATCTTTTCTAGATCAGTTAATTTCTCTAATTTGTTTAAAGTCATATCATCCAGGTAAACTTTATAAACTAAATCATCTAATGTTTCTAAATTTACTAACAAATCTTCTAAATTTTTAATATTATGATCTTTTCCTATTCTGACTAATTCTAAGGCATTGTCTATCATATAACTAGTCTTCTCAATTTCGTATACTCTACATCTATACCACTTTTGTAATAAATCTGGTGTAAGTTGTACATTTCTAAAAGAAAAAAACAATCATTATCATTTAAACTTGTTTAACGTATTTATATAATTAAATAATCGATTAAATCATACTTATAAATATCCAATGATGGGTCCGTTTCATAAAGTAATTGAGATTGATCATCTTCTACTAAATTTATTATTTTATCAAAAATTTTTCTCTCAGACCAATCTTTTTGACGTAATTCACATTGATCTGGTAAATATAGTTGTCCTTCTAAATCACAATGTGGTAGCAACTTTTGATAATTTAATGGGTTTAACGTTTCTGGGAAAAAACTTATGATAGCTAACCAATGTGGTAACAATATATTACCATAATAAGTAAACATAATTTCTACTGCTCTACAATCACTGTCTTTGGCAAATCTGTATTTAATTAAATAAATATTTATATAAATCAAATTACACTTGGGTTTTATAAAAAATGAATAAAAAAATATAATAAATATGAAAGATATACCTTATAGCATTTTCAATGACAGAAAGTTGTCTGAATTCCTCATAAAAATGTTTATTATATGGAAGAGAAGGTCCAAGAATAATTTCATAAGTAAGCAATTTATCTAAATGATTTAAAAGTGATCTCCTATATTTAATTAAATCCTTTTGTGCTTCTGATAAATTATTAACATCAATGGACTCAATGATTTTGTTTATTCTTTGAATCTGCAAATATATGTAATATTTATAAATATTTAAGCAATATTATATATTTATGCGTTATATATCAAATGTACCTGTTTTAAATTACTTTCTGGATCCAATTTAGTATCATCATCATTATCATCATCAAAAGTATCAGCTAATACAAATTTTCCATCATCACATTCACCAATGGCTAATAATGTTTCTAAATTAGCGCCCTTTAATCCAAAATCTAACAATTCTCGTGCTGCTTCAATGGTATCTGGTACGCGAGTGACACATTCATTTAAAACCCAAGATCTTTTAGTAACTTTACTTAAATGTTCATGAATAGCATTTAATGATAACTGAGATTTTCGCCACTGTGTTTGATATACAAGATCTGTATCTAAATTATATGTATTAGCAAGTATTAAAGCCTCTTCATATTCCTAGAATATAAACAACTATCTATAATTTACTATATGTAGTAAATATTTCTCTCTTTTATAATCGTTCTAACAATAGAATATTATGTTATATAAATACCTCAATATCTATTTTTCTAGTATACAATTCTTCTGGAGTGGTACTTTTGAGTCCTAAAATTCTATAAGTTCTATATAAAACTTTTGAGCGTTTTCTTTTTGGTTGAAATCTTTCCATATCAGTAATTGAATATAAAGTACTTTGTACTAAATCTGTAGTATAATTTAAAATAGTAATATGTTCCAGTTCATCACTTTCTTTTTCACTTTCTGATGATGCTTCTGTGAAATAGTTTTATTTTATATTAATAATCGTATAAAAATAAACGTATTAAATAAAAATAAGAAATATTAATTGCTGACCTAAAAGTTGGCCTTCGGTATTAGATTCTCTATTTCGTTTTTTACTTATCATATAAGATTCACAATCTAAACATAAAAATCCACGATTTGGACCTAATTCACAAATTTGTGGTTGACCAGCTAAAAATTCTGGACTTGATCCCAATAAATTATTTAAATTTTTAATTGAACATACTGAAATAGATCCTGTATATCTTGCTATAATAATGGCCTTTAAAAAACAAAAACAAAAAAAACTGTATAAAATTATTTTATATAATAGTCAATATATCTAATTGTATATTGAGTGAAAATTATAAAATATTACCTGGTCAGACCACCAGCCAATATCTATAGGATGAAATTCTGTGAAACGAAATGGAAATTTTTTAAATTTCATAAGTCTTAACGGATTAGTTATATTGTATCCTGGTTGTTCTTGTAATTTCCATTTATTTTGAAGTACTAAATTAGGTAATCTCCATAGTGAGACAGATCCATCTGTATGTAAGCATATTAATGACTTATTGTTTGGAGATATTTGTATATTAAATATTACTGATTCTATTCGAAAATATAAAGTGGGTATAAAATTCCATAGAGAAAATCTTGATTTAGTTTCAGCATTTTCGTTAAAAGTAACTGATAGTTTACAGTATGGATAATCATTTAATAATCTCCATGAAGTTAATCCGCTATCTGATGCTGTAGACTGAAATAAAATAGTTTAAATATATTTAATATCCTATTTACGCGAATAATTGTTTATAGATTTTACTTACTGTTAACTTTTGTGTGATTGCATTACCAGCAACATAAAGTAAGGAATGTTTTTCGTCATATGCAACCGCATTGACTCCATTTTTATAAAAGTTACCAAAAGAAAACTCATAAATAAAATTATAGCCATTGGATAAAGATATATGATAAGATTTTAAAAGGCCACTGTATGTAACTAATATAAATTCATAAGACCATTTTTCATTCTGTGATCTTGGATTATGAAATATCATGGATGCTATTGCATCTCCAGTCTCTAATATATGAGGATTTGGTGATGTTGCTTTTGGATTTATATTAAAGATATTATTTCCTAATGAATTATAAAATGATATATATCCATTACTAGATGCTAGAACTAAAATTGTTCCATCTGGACTCCATGCAAGTTTTCGCCATTGCGGGAAGGCATCTTTTGGAACTAAAAAATCAAATATTGTTAAATTTTATTTATAAATTTTCATAATTAATAATATTATATAAATAAATATACCAGAGGCTTTGCCAATAATTGATGAATATTCATCCTTTGCTTTTCGAATTTCTATAACATTTTCTTGTAAAACAGCTAATAAACGACCATAGTCTCCTATTGCAATTTTCCATGGTAATGTTAAATTAATTTGTTGAGATATAATATTTTCTGGCAAGGAATAACTATAATTAAGATATCTTAATATATTTTTTATTATGCCAGTAGTTGGTAGAATAACAGTGTCATTTTTTAATTTCTGCAAAAAAAATATGGAAATATACATATCATCACTATAAAATATAATAATATATATATGTGAGAAGTATTAAGAATATATTTAATTCTTACTTACTATTAATTCTGGCTCTTGTTTTCGAATAAAGTATTCTAACAATTCATAAAGAATTGGTTCATTTGACAAATCATTAGTATCCTCCATTTTAAAGGGAAGAAAATAATCCAACACATTCTGTCAATTCCTCGTAAACAAGGAATTGATCATCTGGAATTATGATTGCTAGATTTGGATAGACATTGGTGCATTGACTTAACTGATATACGAATCTTAAGTAAGTTTCACCATTATAGATGGTAGCACACTATTTAAAAAACTCGAGTGTAGCATCTATATCATAAATTCAGGTTTTTAACGCCATCTGCTTTTTAATATTAAATTGTTAATTATTTATCTTTAATTATATGTAACATAACCCTTTTAGACGTATACTTAACAATCAAGAAATGTAATAATTGTAGTACAATATTGTACATCTACAAATTTGATTTTCTTAAAAATTAGTGACAATATTTCAAATACATTAAAGTTACGCTGAATAGAGTATCTGGGAGATATATCTAATGTAAAATAATTACTTAATAGTATAAAAAAAAAAAAATGTTCTCTTAATTATTATTTGTTTTATAACTCTAATTTTGTTTTATAGTTATACAAATATGTCTGATCAACCAAAAGTTGTACTTGTAACCGGTGGGACTGGATTAGTCGGTTCAGCAATTAAACAAATTGTTGAGGAAGATAATAGACCAGATGAAAAATGGATATTCGTTGGTTCAAAAGATGCTAATTTATGGTATGTAGCAATGTATAGTATTATTATTATTACAATTAGGATATTCTTATAACAAATATAATTATTACAGCAATAAAGCTAGTACTGTAGAATTGTTTGATAAACATAAACCAACACACGTGATACATTTAGCTGCAATGGTTGGTGGTCTCTTTCATAACATGGCTCATAATTTAGATTTCCTGGTAACTGATTGTATATTTTTAATATTGCATTATTATTATTCAAAGTATTCAAGATTAAATTATATTGTAACATTTGTAGAGAAATAACATTCATATGAATGATAATATTCTACAAACTGCTCATGAGACTGGTGTTAATAAAGTTGTTTCGTGTCTTTCAACTTGTATATTTCCAGATAAGACTACATATCCTATTGATGAAACTATGGTAATTTGTATATAATATAGCTTACCTCTATTTAACTTATTCAATATCTTATATAATAATAATTTTTCAGGTTCATAACGGTCCACCACATCCATCAAATTATGGTTACAGCTATGCCAAAAGATTAATAGATATTGCTAATAAAGGATATCATGAACAGTATGGTAGATTATATACAAGTGTTATACCCTGCAATGTATTTGGACCAAATGACAATTTTCGTCCTGGTGTCAGTCATGTTATACCTGGTCTCATGAGAAGATTACATGATCTAATAAAAGATGGTAAAAAAATGATTAGTCTAAACATGCTTTCTGAAATATACTTTATATAAACTTTTTATTTATTAGGAAATACAGAAGATAAAGTTTTCACAGTATTAGGCACTGGCAAACCTTTAAGACAATTTATTTATAGCTTGGATTTAGCGAAGTTAATAATTTGGGTTCTTCGAGAATATGATTCTGTAGAGCCAATTATTCTATCAGGTATATATATATATATAAATGCAATTTATTTATATCATATTAGACATTTTATAATGAATATAAATGAATTCTTTTAGTTGACGAATCCCAAGAGATAACAATATCTGAAGTCGTTGATGCAATAGTAAAAGCTTTCAATTTCAAAGGTTCAATTCGTAATGATCTTAGTGCTGCAGATGGGCAATATAAGAAAACAGCAAGCAATGCAAAATTAAGAAGTTATTTGCCAGATTTTAAGTTTACTCCATTTGATCAAGCAATTAAAGAGACAGTCGATTGGTATTTAAAAAATTACGATCAAGCTAGGAATTAAATGAACACAGACAAGACTTGATAACATAAGATATATGAATAATATTGTACAAATTATAAATAAATAATGTATATATTTATTTATATATACTCTAAACATTCTAATATATTTGCAGCAAATAAATTAGCTGTTTATATAAAATATACTATAAAATATAATCAATAAATAAGAAATATTTTTCTATATAGTTTAAAATAAAGTAACTTAAAATAATGTATCTTAAAATACCTTAATATATTACAATACAATGAAAAATTGCTTTATAAGTTTGTGTGGATTTTTATGTTTTTATTAGTTTATCATCTTTAATTGTACTTTGATAATACTGATAACGTTGGTTCTCTATAGTTTGTTAACAAAGAACCCTTCCTGACCAATCTTTGTACTTGTTAAAGTAAAGGGATAAACGATCATACGCGTGACAAAACACTAGGGACTGCAATTTACAACGTGTTCTCTCAAGTGCTTAAGAAAGATTACTATGAAGATAAAGCTAGGACGTTAGATACTACTCTTTTCCTTTATCTTTCTATTGTGTTATTGTTTATTTATAGAAATAAATAATTTTTTCCCTAGGGGACCTACATAGGTAGTTACAGGCTTAGCAAATCCGGGGCCCCCAGCTTTAGGAAGAAAATTGTATATAATTTACCTTTTTTCTTGGGAATATCTCTTACACAAAAATAAATATTCGTATTATAGTATTAGGATTGTACGATTAAATGTAGTTCATTTTCACTTTGTCGTACTCGTGATAGATCATATCTACTTGCTGTAGAATGCACAATGATTGCATTGATAGATGATCATTTACGAGAAAATATCAATCTTTTCATGCAAGATCGAACTATAAAGGAGATAACATTTTTTGTATATCTTTTCTAGCACGTAGCATATAAACCATAATAACATTAGTTGAAAAAAAAAAAGGTAAAAAACTTGTATGTACATCAAAGAATTGCCTTAGAAAAACATTGAAAAGATGCGCTATTGGGGGTGGCTCATTCCCCACTATTGGACCAACACTCGTGTTTTCCCGAGTGACATCGGGTACGTTCGTAGCATCGAAGATCGCCGCGGTTCGTCAGTCGCGCTTTAACAGCCTTGCGCGATGTGTCAGCGAATTGATAGGGGTAGGCAAATCAGCGGTGGTGGTAATGTGTTCGATGTGATAAAGGCGACGTGTTATAAGGGATGATAAGGCACGTGGAGTATTGCTCAATGTCATTCTAAAAAAAGAAGAAAGAAAGAAAGAAAGGAAATCAAGAAGCTCTTTTAATTATTTTGTATCGGTTATTCGTCCTTCGTTCTTTGTCAGTGTGGTATTCTTTCTTTGTGTGCTTTATTTCGAAGAAACTAGATGACTCGGACGTGTAGACAAATTCGAAAGGGTTTATGGCCAAGGTAGCGCCGACCCTCGTGCGATTGTCAGTCAAAGGGACCTATTTCTTCGATAATTTGTCGGTGATTTTCGAATGAAAGATGATTATTCGAAGAACAATATTAGAAAATACGACGATGCGAAGAATACCGGCGTGCCTTCTTCACTTCTTCGATTATTTCCTGCTGAAACGTCGATGATATTCGTCTGGCGAATTTCTACCCTATTCGTGATGCAAAAGTAACGCGATTTACTCGTTTAAGACAAAAGAAAAAGAAACCCTCTCATCCCCTTCAGAATATTAACTTTCCTACAGAAGAGGAGGAGGAAGAAGAAGAAGAAGAGAATAGTCTTACTGTCTACTCTCTTATCGAGTGTAAGTTGAACGATTTCGAAACGAAATGCTAATTTAATTAGATGTCTATCGATCGTCCGTGCGTACGTGCCTGCGAAATGGCGGTGGAAAGGATCGGATAGGAAAGAACGTGTGTGTGTATTCATAGACCGGTTTAGTTGTGTCATCCTCTCTTTTGAAAATCTTTCTTCTGTTCCTTCATTTTCACGAGAGCAAGATTTACACGTTCGTAGATTTATAGTGTCGGATTTAGTCGCGTGCCGACGCATAGCCGCGTGATCGCAACTCGCGTGGCTTTTCAAGAATACCTGCTTTGTTATGTTTATATTTATTATGTATTTTATACCATCGCGAATTTTTCGTATATATTTTTGTTTACACAGATTTCTCATTGTTTTTCAATTAATTTGTCAAAGCCGAATAAACATGATATGATATTATTTATTTTGTTGGAACGAGATTTTATAGTTAACGGATGCTGAAAGAGAGAAGGAGAGTAAATGATGAATGATCGAGAGTATGTCTCGGACATATTTTGGCACCTTCACTATCGTATGTAGAAAATTTCAACATTAACTTGATTTTCTAATACCGAAAGATATTCCATGTGTCGATCGGTTGAAAATTCTAAAATATAACGCGAAGAAAATTATGTAATAACTTATTTCTATATTTATAATTATATTAAGTGTATATTTTTTGTTTGGTACACTGAAACGATTATTTTCCCATTTGAAATGTCTTTAATTTAGTTGTCTTTTTACGAAGAATTGCTATTGTTTGTTTAATTTTCTCTCTCTCTCTCTCTCTCTCTCTTTCTCATTCAAATCTATTCGTTTGCAACAAGTGCGTGTTCTATTTTCATTTTCCTCGATGTTCTGCTTTGCGTTACCTCATTATTAACACTAACTGTTTTCTCTTATAATGTTTTAAAATTTGCTATAGCAAATGTACTTTGTTCATTGATAAATACATGTGCGATTTAATGAGATACCCGATAAGGAATCGCTTAAAAAATATCGAAAGAGTTTCGGTGCTCTTTGAATTTTAATTAAATTAAATGTTCCATGCAGAATAGAAATGCTTTCGGAAAGTCTTTTCAAAGTTGCCTTACTGTATCTCAATCGCATGATCTTTAAATTTCTTTTGAGTTAAACGCAACATCGATTTCAAAAAGTTTTCATTTCCCGAAAGTCCCGGAGAAAGTTATTTTCTTGAAAGTTACTAAAGCTAAAAGACTTGTCTTTTTATTTCAAACGATTGAACGAAATAAAAAAGATTCTAAAGTTGTACTATTGAAAGCTTTCTATAATAATTCTCTTGCTATTCGCGAAGAGGGTCGTTACTTGAGTATCTGATAAGTTACGTTCTTTAACTCCCTTGAAACTTACAATTTCTATATCACACCTTTTAGACTTCTATAATCTATTGATTTATCTTAAATAGTATATAACTAGAATCGTTCTCCTATTCGTTTATATAATCCTCCGAAAATTAATAGAATCGACAGTTAAACGTAGTGTACATTAAAATCGCCTGTGATTAATATTAATATTAATTGTTTTCTTTTCGCGTAATTTGATCTTTTGAAAGTTTCGTTCATTGATAAAAATTAAAAGAAAATAGATTAGGTAAACCACGATGGATGTTCCATTTATCATAGAATGGTCAGCAAAATGTGTCAGTTTTGATAAGTGGATAACTCGTGTAATAGGATTTCACTTCTTGTTTCCATCGCGGACAGATCTCGAGAGATAGTTATTTCAATGAAATATTCGCGAATCCACAGGTTCGAGAGTCTATACTACTAGCAGTGATGTTTATGTAATCAGTTGGAACAGTATCGTGTGAAATACATACATATATTATACATATATGAAGCTTTGAAGATAATAAAGGTAAAAATATATAAAAGAATTATATAAAAATAGCGTCTATTTTGACGCGATGCATTATTCTTTTGATGAATTAAACAACGTTCTAGCTTCGAGTTTGAATTTGGTGAAAGGTGTTTCGTGTTTCTCGTGGAACGACGAAGGATGGACGAAAATATCGTCGGTAGAAGGAATCGTCGTGCCGCACGTTATGTTCTTGGTGGTGCGCGACGGCGAGCTCGTCGACGAAATCATCGACGAAGTCATCAAGGAAAAGGCTCAACCAAGCTCAAATTACTTCAAGATAAGCCGTCCTCTTCCTTCTCATCATCTGTATCTCCCTTTATATTCTTCTTCGTTGCTTCCACGAGAAAACGCCGAAGGAAGGAAGAAGAAGAAGAAGAAGAAGAATCATTGTTGTCGTTGTTATCCTTCAAGATCGTTGATCGTTGTCTAGGAGTCCTATCAGGAGGCTCCTAGTGTAATTGAATGGAAACCAAAGTGAGTGAAGAAAGGAGACATTATGCCTGGCATCGTGGTATTTCGACGACGCTGGAGCGTCGGCAGCGACGATCTCGTTGTACCTGGTGCCTTCCTCTTCGTTTTGCATCTCATATGGTGAGTTATTATAAATAATTATATACTTTTTTATTAAAACTTTTCTAATCTTTATTAAAATTTTTCATATAAGAATAGAATCTGAAAAGTTCGTAGGTCCGTTATAACGAGACATGATCAAGTGCACGCGTACTTTGCGAAAATTCAAAGTCGATTTTCTCGAAAACAAAGCCTTAAACGAAAAAAATTTTTATTCTATATTTTCGATTTATTTTTTCATGTAAAATCACCCCCTTTTCGCTTGTACCACCAGTTACAGATCACCCTGTATATATCTTGCAATAAAATGATATATATATCTTAAGTATATCTTATTCAAGGATCGATTGTAGTGTTATATTTATAAAAAATATTATGTAATTAAAATTAGAGAAAGCTCTGTGGAAATTGGCTATTTGTATATTTTAATTTTGTAAATATATATACCGCACAGTAAAACCATGATCACGGTCGACGCTACCGGGTAGAAAATATATACACATGGCCTGCTGTGTTGAAAAGAAAGGATTGAAAAGAATATATCACCGTTTTTCGTTTATGGAATAAAATGTTTTCGCATAACGTTCCTTTGATGTATATACAACGTACGATGCCAATTCGCGCCCACAAGAAGTTCGAGATTTAAAAGCAAAATATCAATCTGCATATGACGGCTTTTCACTTTTTTTTCATATAATAAGTACATACGACAGTGTCGAAACTTTTCAAGCACTGTATATTATCCGTGGGAAAAGGTAATGTTAAATTGCTAGAAGCAAAGGTACCTAAGTTGCCCCTTGACCTAGTATGTTTCCTATCTACGTTGTTTAGACTTATCCTTCAACCTCATAGTTGTGGCAATTCAACTACTGTCTTGTATTTTGTAGGAATGAATTCTCTCTCCTTCTCTCTTTTTTTCAATCTCTTATAATATATATATTATATACGAGAGTTCATAAAACTTGTTTGTGAAAATCGATTCTATGTTCGTAATTATTCTTTAACAATTAGATCTATTTTTAAACTAACAATAGACTTATTTACTGCTAAATTCGGTTTTAATAGTCGAAGCGAACAGGACAGATAACGATGACTAATAAAACTGTTAAGTGATAAGCATGACTGGCGAGGATTTGCGCTATCTACCATTCGTTTTAGGAATTGTTACTTTATATTACAACATATTTTTACAAATGTTTTATCTTAACTAAATGCATTTAATTGACGCTTTGATGGATGTTTTATTCTTCTAATAATCTAGAATTATTGATCATTTCACTAGAAATATTATCTTCTGTGTAGTTTTATCATAAAGACAGTGTCTATGACAGCAGAAGAAAGAGAGGAGAGAAAATGAGAGATATCGTGTATTTAACTTCAGTTTCTGTATAATATCGAACTATGTCCTTTTAAACATTGTTAATGACCCGTAGACGGAGAATCTCCGCATTTTGGACAATCGGTAATCCACGTATGTTCGAATTCGACGAGGATAGGTTTGGCGGAACGTGACAAAGAAGGAGAAATATAAAACGAGCAAGTGGCAGGAAATTGGCGAATGTCCATTCCATTTTCGTAGAACGAGTAATCGGCCGTTTTTCGATATACCATAGTACGAACAGTATCATACGGTTCTGCACGAGTCTTTTCTTTTTACCGTACCTGACAGCACCGTAAATTAAAACTCGTTCTGGCGAGTATCATCGGTATCCAACACTCCTAATGAATTTTCTTTTTTTTTTTTTCTTCAAATAATTTTTCCCATTTTCTCAGCTCGTACTATCGTCCGGCAGGAACGTTGAATTTGTTCTGTTCTATCTTCTTAACGGATATATTGATACTATATCGTTCTCTCATTACTATCGTTGTCTCATTACGATCGTTAACGATGCAAAGCGAATCTCTTGTGTATTGAAACGCTTCTAGTCTCAAGACAATAGGTGAAGATCGTTTCTCCAACGATACTATGTATCGATTTCGAATTTCCCGGCATTTAGCCATTACCGTTCTCTCGATCTCGCTTGGCACACACTACGGGATGGTGGCGTTCGAAGAAACACACAACTTCTGGTTCAAAGGAACTCTTGGAACATCGTTATTGAAAGAGTACTAGATACTTTTAAATTATCTACACGTGCGAACCCTTTCTCTTCCTCTCTCCTCTCCTTATTATCGCGTCAATGAATCGTCAGTTGTGCAGTGAGAAACTAATCCCACAAGAGTTTCGATTTGTCTCGTGTCGAGTTGCTAAACCAGTTGCATGTTTTTTTTTTTTCTTTCGGTCAGGCAGCAGGATCATCGTTTTGACGTGAATGATTATAATACGGGTGATGTCATCATTTAATTCCATTCATATCTGGATACTCTGATCTGGGTTATATTATCAATCATATCTTCAGTACAAGATCATGCCAAGTTTGATTGCATTTGGTAGACGTTGGAAAGTCGGCAGCGATGATTTGCTCATACCATTTTTCGTTCTCTTATTTGTTCATTTGGTTCAGTAAGTATTACTCATGTTTTTTTTTTTTTTTTATGTCTCTTGTATAATGACGATAAACAATTAACATTGGCATGAAACTTAATTAATTAAATATTTAATGATCAAGATTATTCTCATTTTTGATGTTCTTATTTCGTTCGATAAATGTAAAATATAATTGAAGATTTGCGCCTTGTCCTCTGACCTGACATAAATCCGCGCCTGTATCTTATTCTCTTTGAAAATTTCTATATGAAACGCGACGGACTTTGAGATACTTTGTGTACAAGATCCATCTCTGACCATTAGACAGAGTAATCTTGTTTAATCTAGCGGAAAATCCACTAAATTAATAAAGACGACGTCGGCTTATTGAAATTTAAACTCCAACGTACGCTATTTTAAATACAGTGCTTTGAAGATATGAATTATAAGCAAACAAGTATATCAATGTTGATATAAAATTGCGCAATACAGAAAATATTTTAAATATTGTAAACATTCTATTGATAAAAAAAAAAAAAAAAAAACAGCATCTGTGCAAAACGTCATGTTGAATAATGAATTATCATTATGAATGAATTTCCTCAATAGCAATTCACGTAAGAATCATTCGAAAGATTTATTATTAACGCCCTTCCACAAATATTCACAATTTTTGTTGGAGAATTCGATTTAATTTTCCCCTCAAATATGAATTCATTTCGAAAGCTTTGAAGCATCAAAACAGCAAGTAGGATTTATGACGTACATATGAATTTAAATCCGCATCAAGGAAATAATAAGCTAGTTTCATATTTTCACATATCATTTATTTTCTAGTACGTTAAGGAATACGTATATTCGTAAGGGGTACGTTATATTCGTTACGTACGTAACGAATACCGACGCCATTTTCTATCTAAGATCAATAAAAATATTTGTTTACATAGTTCAATATATGATTAACCAACCCTAAAAAAAGAAATTCTATTCCTCATTTAGTTTTCGCAAAAAAAAAATTTCCAAAAAAAAGACTTTTTTTCAGGCTCTATAGTGGTGTTACTCCTTAATTTCATTTACAAGTAAATATTCATTTATACACGTGTTTTTGATCTGTGAATAATAACATCTAGCTTATTGTTAGTATTATGTAAATCATCTTATAATCATGTATACTATATATATATATATATCTCACAAGGGAAAACATTTTCACGTAAAAATCAAACAGGGGAAAAAATAATACATCGAGTAGCACGAAAAGAGCTCTAGTAGGAGGGTTACTACCGTTACGTGCCCAGCAGCAACGTGCTCAGCTTTATGCAGGAAGTGGAATGGGTTTTATAACAAGGAAAGAAAAAAAAATGAAAAAGAAAGAATAGAATAAAATAAAAGGGAAAGAGAGAGAGAGAGAGAGAGAAAAAAGAACTTTAGGCTTAGCACCTTGCTTTTGGAAATTGAAGAAAGGTAGCCGCGAACGTTCCTCTCGAGGATCAATACGTCATGTGCGGCGGGTGTCGCCGCTTGCTGAATGGTGTCTATACCCTACCTAGTCATTCTCCCTATGAATCATTTAAGGGTGCTTTCCTATACACGTACTTACATATATTTTAGTCCGACAGTTCGTTCTGCACCGTTGTATATAAATACGCTAGTTGCAGACACTCCTGACCTTATGCGACTACTGCAGTCCTAAAATATATAGTTTTCTTAGATATTGTAGAAAATATTTCCAATGTTTAAATAAGTTTTCTCGATAGTTAGATCGATAATATTCTTTACGAAAGATACATTTAAAATATTAAATAATCTCACGTTTTCGCATCGAAGTAAAACTTGAACGAACATATTTTATGATATCTTTGTTTCGTGGTCCGAATAAAGAGAACATTACACAAGCTTAGAATTTATTTTAAAATCACAATAAGATCACGTTCTATCGTTGTAAAGTACCCCAGTCATTTTCCATTCTCTGCGTATTTTATTCGTGACGAACGTTTGTTCTCTCTTTTATTCTCTAACTTTTCTTTTTTTTTCTTTTTTTCGATAGATACGTTCTTGATTCTCTCGAAACATTCGCTGCGACATGAATGTGCAATTAGAGTAACTATGAGAAGCTCAAGACTGTGCATTGTGATTAACTTTGATCGTATATGTGTGGTTGTACATTAACGTTTACATCGAAGAATTTCATTTCTTTTAGCTTGTATTATACTTAAGTAACTTATTGTTAGCTCATTTTTATACTTTTTACATATTCTTAAGTTTTGTGTGTGTGTGTGTTTTGTTTTTAAATGATCTTAATGGTAGAACAATTTCTGACTTATTCAAACAATTTAATTGCTACACTTGGAAAGACGTGACACCTTGAAATCTTCTTCTTGTTAAATAAAAGATAAAAAATCGATGAAAATTATTTGAATCTTCAAGAATTTTCTGTTTAACAGCTATTTTCTTAATTGTTAGTTTATTAAAGCTTATCAAGTTGAAGGAGGAAAATACGGAGAATAATTATTTGCCATTCAGAGATTTTCATTTAAAAACTCTGACGTAAGTT